TGTCGTCCAGGCGTTACGATATTGGATAAAAATGTATGAGTCCATATTGATTTATACACGTACAGACTGTAAATAAATTGTTTTAAAAAAATCTTCCGATAAAAATGTTCGTCCAACTCTTGGTCTGGTTATTAACTCGATAAACGTTTAGATTTAGTTATTTAACAATCTACCCCTAATAAAAGCGTGTCAATGTTTAATCGAGGTAATCTCTGGTTAATTACTGGTCCACTTACGTACCGAACATGGAATTTTTATGTATTAAGAGACCCAAGAAAAATTCCCTACTATAACGGATTATAAATTAGCACCGGTATTAACATATTATTTTGCATAAACACCTCACTTTTTTCTCGTACTGTTGAAATTTTTTAAAAGGCTTGCTTAATTTTTATGACCCGGGTCCTTAATCGACTGGTCGACTTATTTTGGATAGCATTCCTCTAAAATTGTCGCTACGTCGAATTTGTAGCCTTTGGTTACGGTTGTACTTTACAATTTTATTTGCAATTCATGAACGTCATTAATAAAATAGAACGAAACAAATTTTAAACAGGCTTTAGATGTTTGTGACTTTATTGGGCTTGACCGATAAAGCCTCCAGAAATGGACCGACCTTTCGCCTACCATTTGTCAGACACCTGGACAACGTTTTACAACACAAAAAATTATTAATCAAAACTCGTTAGAAAATTCGTTTTCAGAATTTGTTAATGATAAAAACAAAAAATTATATTCAGATAATTAATATTTATGAAAGGTTAAGATAAAAAGTCAGTGTCAGTGGCGTTCAGAATTTCATTAAATAGATCAATTAAAGCATGAAAAAATTCTGAAGTTGAATTTTTATAATACGTATAGGGGTAATCCTGAGGTTCTACTTTATTTTCCTTTAATTATGTTTTTAAATCCTTGTAATGTGAACGCTTTTAATTTCTTAATAAAAAGCATTCTACTTTTCTGCCTTTATATTTGCATTATGTTCCATTGCTTATTATGGAGACTGGGTTTATCGTGTGACGGTGACAAGCAACACAATGAGAGGATCAATTGAACGAAAAGGTAATCGGTCAACTTTTCCCCCGAGCATTTTCACCTTTATCCCATACCGTAACAGGAGCTTTAAAGTTAATCAGGCTTATCATCTTTATTTATCCGAATCAAAAGATGTGCGAGATTTCTTCTTGAAGACTGATGTTATACGCCTAACCCCTCTGTGTTCTTGTAATTGTTATAATTTCGTGTTGAAAAAAAAACAGGGATAAGTCAAATTTGAAAGACACTCACTTGAAAATACTCAGTTCCTTGGTCGAGCGTTCGAAGAATATACCTTCTTGATCAGTACTTTGCAACTGTTATTGATGATTATCAAGGTTGACGAATATATAATATCTAATTACTTTTAGCACTTACATAACTTATTAAACCATATAATGACGATTACAAAAGCTATTTCAAGAGGACTGCGGTCTTTTGGCTTATTGTAGTTTTTTTTTAAGGGGCATCCGACAGCTTGTCATTTCAGCCCCGTGCGCATGCAAAATACTGCAACACACATTCTATATACAGTCACACAAATAAATACATTCACACCTATATACACTGCATTCATTCTATTTGGTGGACCAATCCAATTTTAACCAACCAACTTTTATAAATATTCCGCCATCGACCCCAATCGCGAACACAGCTCGAGGGGCCGTAGAGTTGCTATTCCACCATCAGCCCCACCCCATTCACTCTAATAAATACACTCACACAAAACACAGTAAGACCAAGTAAGACCACCAAGACCACACCAAGACACAGTAAGTAACCATTCTTAAAACCGGTGGCATGCCTACACGCTCTCTGTATGGAGCCAAGGAATGACACGCCGCTAGTGTGTGTGTGTGTGTGTGTGACACATCGAGCAACCTTTCTCTGCATAAAGGGCACCTGCGTTGGTTATTCTCTCATCAATGTGTTGTGGATAAACTACAGTTTTTATGCCCTAGATCGCAAAATATTATATTTTTTGCTATAATAAGCAGCATAATTACAACAATGCTGCTATTACGAAAAAAGCCTGCTCTCCATTATCTGTTTTAACTCCTGGTTAGAAGCGATTTGGAGTATGCCAGTGGTAGTAATAGTGGTACCTGTCAATGTGATGTAGATAAACTAGATTTTTGTGTTCTGGATCCGAAGATATTATTTGTTTTTACTATAATAAATAGCTTAATTACAAAAATAGTGATATTATGAAAAAAAATCCTTCTCTCCGTTATCTCCATGGACTTCTGTTTAGAAGTGATTTGGAGTAAGCCAGCCTTGGTCATTCTCTTGTCAATATATGTGCATATGCTAAAGTTTTTGTGCTCTGGGCCCAAGATTTTGTTTTCCTGGTTTCCTAACGATTTAGGGTAAGCCGGCGTTGGTTATTCTCTTGTCAACGTGTTGTGGATAGACTACAGTTGTTATGCCCTAGATCGCAAATTATTATATTTTTTACTATAATAAGCAGAATAATTACTACTAATTAATGCTACTATTACGAAAAAACCTAATCATCTGCTTTAACTCGTGGCTACAAGCGATTTGGAGTATGCCAGTGGTGGAAATAGTGGTACCTGTCAATGTGATGTAGATAAACTAGATTTTTTGTGTTCTGGATCCGAAGATATTATTTGTTTTTACTATAATAAATAGTTTAATTACAAAAATACTGTTATTATGAAAAAAATCTTCTCTCCGTTATCTCCTTTGACTCCTGGTTAGAAGCGATTTGGAGTAAGCCAGCCTTGATCATTCTCTTGTCAATATATGTGCATAGGGTAGAGTTTTTCTGCTCTGGGACCTAAGATTTTGGTTTCCTGGTTTCCTAACGATTTAGAGTAAGGCAGCGATGGTTATCCTCTTGTCAATGTGTTGTGGATGGACTACAGTTGTTATGCCCTAGATCGCAAAATATTATATTTCTGCTATAATAAGCGGCATAATTACAACAAGGCTGCTATTACGCAAAAAAACCTAATCTCCAATATCTGCTTTAACTCCTGGTCAGAAGCGATTTGGAGTATGCCAGTGATGGTAATAGTAGTACCTGTCAATGTGATGTAGATAAACTAGATTTTTTGTGTTCTGGATCCGAAGATGTTATTTGTTTTTACTATAATAAGCAGCATAATTACAACAAGGCTGCTATTACGCAAAAAAACCTAATCTCCAATATCTGCTTTAACTCCTGGTCAGAAGCGATTTGGAGTATGCCAGCAGCGTTGGTTATCCTCTTGTCAATATCATGTGCATATGCTAGAGTTTTTGTGCTCTGGGACCCAAGATTTTGTTTTCCTGGTTTCCTAACGATTTAGAGTAAGGCAGCGATGGTTATCCTCTTGTCAATGTGTTGTGGATGGACTACAGTTGTTATGCCCTAGATCGCAAATTATTATATTTTTACTATAATAAGCAGCATAATTACAGCGATGCTGTTATTACGAAAAAAAAACCTAATCATATGCTTTAACTCGTGGCTACAAGCGATTTGGAGTATGCCAGTGGTTACTGTCAATGTCATATAGATAAACTACAGATTTTGTGTTCTGGATCCGAAGTAATTATTTGTTTTTACTACAATAAATAGCTTAATGACAAAAATACTGTTATTATGGTGTGAGTACGCCAGCCTTGTCAGTGTCATGTGCATAGTTCTGAGTTTTTGTGCTCGGGAAACAAGATTTTGCCAGGTTGTTCCAAAAGAGGATCCAATTGAGAAAACCCGGTGGAGTTGGCAAAAAGCGTAAACGCGTCTGATAGACCGAAACGGCGGAGATAAGCGGACCGAAACCAATGTAAAAGATTTGCTTTTAAACGATTTTCGGCTTATTTCATCGAAGCCCTTCGATTTGCCTTTCCGTTAATTGCGGTCATTCCACCGTCATTTTACCTCGATTCCGATTGTTCCGCAAGACGATCAATGTGATAGGTTCCGGCTTGTTTTATTCAAGCGCTGTGAATAAATAAACGATAGGAAGAAGGTTTACCCGAGCCAATTTGACCGCACCGGGCATTTCTTACAAACAACGATTGCCACGAGTAATTGAATATAGACAATTCTTTATTATTCGGACCAAGTGGATTTCAATTTCCATAAATGAAGGAAGCTTATTTACAAAAGCGTATCAAGAGGAAAAAAAAAATTAAGCGTTTACTTTATTCATACATAAGAAAATATTTAATGTACCAATGGTTATATGTTACATTAAAAGATGACTTTATTGTTAAATTATGAAAAAGACTCGCGGGTAATGTTTGTGTTTAACGTTCAAAACAAATACATAAAAGATAAATATGTAAAAACGTTTTGTTACGATGAGGCTTGACGAGGTAGGAAAATAATTTTCAATTCTGTTAAGGATGGTAAAAAAAAGTTAACCGCCGCCGTTCTAGTTTGAAACCGATTTGCAGGACTTTAAAAAGTTTACTTCCTGCAAAAAGATTATATAAATAGTAACAAGGCGCAATTTAAATGAACTGAATTAAATCTCAAATAAAGCATGCAATAACAACGCTTAAAATAATACATCAAAAGGGAAGGGAAAATATTAATTTAGCGCTCCTGTTTTGCGAATGGGTTTTCTAACAGTTTGCGTGACGTCTCAATTAAAAATACGGCGGCAATGGCCAACTTTTCTTAAACCGGGGACCGTCGGTGAAATTGAAAGCACGGTTGAATTCCACTGATAAATTGGTTTAAAACTAAAGATCAAGGGGTTTGATCAATTTATTCCCGACGCATGAATATCCTCCCACACCGGGTTCTCTCTTCGTGTCAAAGACCGTAATATGATAGAAGCGACGGCGACCGCAGACGAACTGAAACCCACCGTACCGCGTTCTTGACCTGCCCGAGGTGTTAAACGCCTTTAGACCCTAGGAAATGGAAGACAGCCTAGCTTATACGTGAAGCTTTTAATTGTCTACAGTGTATATATAGTATAATTAAAAGAGGAACTCACAGTTTGAGCGTGGTCGGAGGCAAATTGGTAGGTAGGGTGGTGAATCCGGCAGCGTTGCATGTGACATGAGTGAATTCTTGGTCGCAGACACATGGTGGAGGGCAGGTGTGGGCCAGGCTTGAGCCCACAAACACGAGTAGAGCTATCACCATCATATGTATGTCTCACACCCATGTCCCATCACCCCCGCCAACTTCACTAATCCTACATCCCTTATGAAAAAGAAAACAGAATGCATAACAAGACTGGGAATGAAACTGAGTTTTACAGTTCCGGAAAAAAAAATTATAATAAAACGGTGGACATGTGCAAACTGAGAAGAGGGCAAGGAGTGATTTTTTTTTTTAAATGTACCACTTGTCGCAGATTTTAGACTCTATGATTGGACGTCAGATGTACGCTATGATAAATTTACAATTTCTTTTTTTTTCAGATGTCACAACCGTACAGAATGGAGTATAATTCCGACTATTTAAAAGAAGTTGTGATTTGAAAATGTAGAAAGAAGCGGAGAGGACAAGCACCTTTCTCCCTGATCTCGCCACATACCACTTTCACTAGATTATATTGCCTCCCGGGTAAGCACATGTCGCCCGATATAACTAAAAAAAGTAACAATCTGCCAATTGTATCAAGGTAGACCTACCATTTTTTTCAATTTTTCACCGATTTCAGCAAACATGACAAAATCACTGGTAAGATTTTATCATTTTGTTCCTTCCTCTTTTTTTTTACATAAATACTTTTTTGAGAAAATCTGCCGAAATCGCTATACGGCTATCCTGCCGCTTTTAACAACTGACAGTTTATCAGGATCGTTATGTCCATAATAAAAACAAAAACATGCTCTCTCGGGGGAATCTTACATATTAAAAGAAAAAATCTACAAAGAGGAAATTTGAATCGGACGGTGAAATACAGGGTGGTGGGACGATGAGAGGAGATCGATTGGGTTCGACGTACGAGTTCACTTCAAAAATTAAACTTGGTGAGATAAGACGCGATTATATTAAAGTCGAAAAGAGCGACCAAGTTTCATAGAGAAAGGCTTCCGAACGACTGGCTCCCATCCAACGAGCCACGCCGGCCCAGTAAAGCATCTCCTCCCCCCACGGCAAACACAACACCCCTTCCACTCGCTCCCAACGCAACTATTTTATTGTTTTAATCTATATCCATAGACCTGACACGACTTTTTAATTGGACGGTGCATAAGTGAGGAGTTGAGACGAGACTGACGATCCTAGAACTTCCAATATTAGGCTGCATGGACAAATGAAATAAAATTATAACAAGATGGCCCACCCCCTTTATTTCGAAAACGATTAACTTTCGCAAAAAATGGTCTTATACAAGCCCCAAATTGATTTTGGCTAGGAATCGCGTGGTTGTAAAAGATTTAACATAACTTTCTCATCTAGCTGGGAAATGACACTGACGTTGTTATTTTAAACGATAATCCTATATTATTATTGTAAAATGCAATTCTAGAGCTTATTTTATGCTACTTTTACTGAAAGAAAATTTTTTGATACGATCGACCATTTCTGAGGTATGCCCAAGAGACGAATCGTGAAGGGGAAATGCTTTTTGTGGACCACCACCTTTATTTCGAAAACGATTAACTTTCGCAAAAAATGGTCTTATACAAGTCCCAAATTGATTTTTAACAGATTTAGCATAGCTTTCCCATCTAGCTGGGAAATGACACTGACGTTATTTTAAACGATAATCCTATATTATTATTGTACATTGCCATTCTAGAGCTTATTTTATGCTACTTTTGCTGAAAGGAAAATTTTGATAGGATCGACCATTTCTGAGGTATGCCCAAGAGACGAATCGTGAAGGGGGAATGCTTTTTGTGGACCACCACCTTTATTTCGAAAACGATTAACTTTCGCAAAAAATGGTCTTATACAAACCCCAAATTGATTTTGGCTAGGAATCGCGTGGTTGTAAAAGATTTAACATAACTTTCTCATCTAGCTGGGAAATGACACTAACGTTGTTATTTTAAATGATAATCCCATATTTTTATTTTACATTCCGATTCTAGAGCTTATTTTATGCTACTTTTACTAAAAGGAAAATTTTGATAAGATCGAACATTTCTGAGATATGCCCAAGGGAAGAAGCGTGAAGGGGAATGCTTTTTGTGGACCACTACCTTTATTTCGAAAACGATTAACTTTCGCAAAAAATGGTCTTGTACAAGCACCAAATTCATTTTCGGTAGGAATCGCGTGGTTGTAACAGATTTAACATAGCTTTCCCATCTAGCTGGGAAATGACACTGACGTTGTTATTTTAAACGATAATCCTATATTATTGTAAAATGCGATTCTAGAGCTTATTTTATGCTACTTTTACTCAAAGAAAATTTTTTGATACGATCGACCATTTCTGATGATGCCCAAGGGAAGAAGCGTGAGAGGGGAATGCTTTTTGTATCACCAAGACGAACCACCACCTTTATTTCAAAAACGATTAACTTTAGCAAAAAATGGTCTTATACAAACCCAAATTTAATTTTTTGTTAATTTTTGATACAAAAAGCGTACCTCCCTCACGCGTATTCCGTCGGGCTTAACCCAGAAATGGTTCAACTTATCAAAATTTTCCATTCATTAAAAGTGGCATAAAATAAGCTCTAGATTCGAATTGTTCAATAAAAATACGGGATTATCATTTAAATATATAATTACTCAATTAATTATACATAATTTTTCGAAATGAAAAATTTTGTCACAGGCGGGATTCGAACCCACGACTTTCGGCTAAAGCCGTTGCTGCACTACCACTTGAGCGATCGAAGTAAACTCAAGTGGTAGAGCCGCGGCGTATTTAGCCGAAAGTCATGGGTTCGAATCCCGCCTGTGACACAAATTTTTCTTTCGAAAAAATTATGTATAAATATTGAATAACGATATAATTTTTTTCAGGGGCAATCTCATTGTAAATGAATACAAATATTTAGGAGAGATATTTACTCCAAGACTTTCTTGGACAAAGCACTTTTCTTGGAAAGCGTCGGTGGCTAAATTAGGTCTAAATAACACATGGTCAGCTTTCATATTTCAAGAAACTATCCGTATTAAAGTCAAGTTTAATATTTTTAAGGCGATAAGTAGTGCAATTCTATGTTATGGCTATCAAATGTGGGGAAATCAGAAATTCGAAACAATAGGCAAAGCGCACCGTTCTTTTTGTAAGAAAGTTATTCACATTGCCATCTGGTACACCAAAATATACATTATATTTAGAGACCAACATGGATTTAATTTTGGAGTATACACTTAAGCTTCACTACTCCACACACTATTGTGAAAGTTCTGATGTCTCCCGATACTAGATACACAAAAATAACATCTTTGGCGGCAATAAAGTCTAATATTTCAAGGTTTGCACACTGGAAATATTTGTTTGAAAAGGACAACTTGCCCTTCCTCATATCATTGGACAACCTCTATGACTAGCATAAGTATTTTTCTGTTCTTATTACTCAAATTCAAAAACAACATCACGAAGAATGCCGGTTACTTGTTCAAGCATCTTCGCATCTCTCACTTTACAAGGAAGTACAAATTTCTCCTGCATTGTTCGACCTACATGAAGATAATTTTGACAGTCTTTGTCTCAATGAGTTGCGATGGCTATTTAAGCTAAGAAGCGAGGTGAGGGCAAACTCGGCTGTTTGGATTAGACGGGAATTGGAAATCTGTTCTTTGTGTGATTCGCGTTCTATTGAAACTGTATCCCACTTCTTGGCGGAGATTCGGTTATTGCATCTCGGATGTTTCACTCTCCCCAGTGTTGACCTGTTACGGTTTTTGAGTGGCTCAAATTCGCGGTCATTCATAATTCATTACCCTAGCCATGCATGGACTACAGATATGAGTTAATTAAGGAGTGATTATTTGGAGATCGTGAGATGCAGTCTGGAGTGACGTAGGTTTTAGAAAAACATTTTATCGTGCCAGCGTTTCGATCTTTATTGAGATCATCTTCAGGGCTCAAAGTGTTTCTTTTCCGTGTAGATGTGTCATTCTTGTGTGTCGTGTTGAGAGTAGTTTAATGAGTTAATTAAGGAGTTTAATTTTTGATTTGTATTGTATAACCTGTTTTTCTATTCTTTCTTTCTCTTTTTAACAGTTGTTATTTCTCTTTTCTTTCAATTTATTGCCTAGGCTGTAATTATTATCTTACTTTATTGTGTATTTTTTTCGTTTCTGATTGTTCAATCAACGGCTTCTGGCAGACGGATCCAAGATCCATGTCCTTAAATGTTTTGAAATCACAGTTGTCATTTTTTTCTTAAGTTCAATAAAGCATTATCATTATTATTATTCACTATTTTTCGTGGTTCGCTTGACCAATTAATACCATTTAATTAATTAAGTTACGGTGGTTAAGTTGACGTCATGATAGATCAAGTGGTTGAGTAGCGGCGTATCAAGCCGAAGGTCGTGGGTTCGAATCCCGCTCGTGATACTGATTTTTTAATCTCAACTGAAAACCTTAATTAATTGAATATTATTATTATTATTATTATACAATTAAGAATAAGGTGATAAAATTAATTAAAAAGTTAGTATTATTATTTAAAATAACAAAGTTAGTGTCATTGAGAATGAGAGATGAGAAAGTTATGTAAAATCAGTTACGACCAATCGATTCCTAACTAAAATTAACTTGAGGTTTGTATAAGACCATTTTTTGCTAAAGTTAATCTTTTCCGAATTAAATGGGTGGACTATAGAAGTTGATACACCTTGTATATTGGGCTTGTGCGAAAATAATGCAGGTTTTGCAAAGGCAGTGAAAACTATTTTTAATTTTTACAAAATAAAGAAAATTTATTCGAAATATTTTCCATCAAAATCTAATCATCTTTGTCAATTTCTAATAAGTTATTTTATTCTGCTGACATATAATTTTTTATTTCGATGATAATAAAGTCTTGGGAGGCGTATTCGGCTTCACCGCGTTCTCTAAAAATTTTATCCATCAAGAAGAAGTGATCAAAATGCCTAAAAAAAGTGGAAGCCTGTAAGCGGGAGGTCGGGTGAATATGGAAGGTTTCATATTCTAAGTCCTTAACTTTCCGCAGGTTTGGCAGTGTGGCACGTGCCCTGGCGTTATCGTGAGAAGCATCGACCTCTTACGGTTTACCAAGCTGGACAAAGAAATTGCAGTTTCCCTTGCATTTTGTCAACTTCTTGGCAATATTTCTCTACTGTGATAGTTTCACCTTGTAGATGTAGATGTAGATGTAATATTTCAGGGTATGGTATACTGCGCCCTTTAAGAGCTATTGTATCCCCTGTACTCTGCCTAAAGCACATCAGTGAGTCCTATTTCATCAAGAAACTTGATTAATAGGCCCGGTTTCAGTGGTTGTAGTTCTTCTATGGTCACATTGTACATCCCAAAACACTTCCTCATGCGGGCTAGTGTAGCTCCGCAGTTTGTTAGTAAGTGTGTTGGTGTCTCTTCTGCTTCTTTGCCGAATCTACATGTGCCATCTTGGATTATTCCAATTTTCTTTAGATGTCCATTTAATCTACAGTGTCCTGTCAAGAATCCTGTTAGGATTCGCAGTCTATTCCTGCTTCCTTTGACACATTCTGTGATTTCTTTCTTGCCAAAGTTGGTTAGAAGATTCTTGGATTGTCTATGTCCAATAAGTGAATTCCAAAGTTCGCTCATTTTATTTTTGTCCTTCTGTCTGAGATATTCTAGTTTCACCTTAATTCATGAAATCATAGTGAACAACCCCTACAATACACCACCAAACAGTCAAGATAACCACTATTTTTCGTGGTCTGCTTGACCAATTAATATCATTCAATCAATTAAGGTTTTTAGTATAAAAAAGTCAGTGTCACGAGCGGTTTTCGAACCCACGACCTTCGGCTTGATACGCCGCTACTCTACCACTTGAGCTATCGTGACTTCGAACCTCTCGGGCACTAACTTACACTTGAAAAATGGCAAAAAGGAGGGAAAATTCAAAAGGTGGGGTTGAGATGGGAAGTTACTGCCCGAGAGGATCGACGTCTCGATAG